GAGCATTCCGTCACTGTACATCGAGGAGAAATCTCTTACGTACATATCATATTGGCGGTACGATCGCTGAGCTTCGATGCCTCCTTTCCTTCTCTTCTGTTTGCTTTAGACCAGCAGTAGTGGCATGGGGTCGTTACGATGCTAGCATTTTTTCCCCTTACCCTTTTCTATCCAACGAAGATGATAGAATAATTAGATGTACTAAATATACGTGTTATTATACGAATTGCCATATGTGCACGGTGTCTTAAGATTAACAAAAAAAAAGTTTTTGCTAATTGTCCGCTAATTGCTAAGATCATTCCCTAACGGTAGTTAGAAAGTTAGTTGTAACAATTTAACTAACTTTAACTGACTATGTCTATGAGAATAGTTCTCATAATGTCACACAAGACTCTATGCTAACTACTGCGCAGTTAATAATAAGCGATCGGATTGTTACACTTAAAAAAATCTCGATATAGAGAATAGAGAGCATTGTCCTTTTTCATTTTATTTGAAGCTACTATCACGAATGTGCACGAACGTTAATTGCAGCCGCGTGAAACACCAAAGTTTTTAACTTTATAAGATGTAAGATTTACAACGAAAGCGGCAAGAAGAGCATTATAAGCGGTTGTATATCTTTATTTCGTATCTGAGTTGCGGTAGGCCAACAGGATAGAGTACGCATCATCGATTTACCCCCGATTACACGACGGCTCGTCTCTCAATAATACTCAATGCGTATTTCTGTGTGTGTAACAAACTTAATGTTAAAGTCGGATGGTAACTCGAGGCGAGAAAAGTAACGATAATAACTGAGTAGGCGTGTGGGCGGACGAATATGTACGTCGCAGCCCAATACTGTGCATTACCTCCTTGATTTCAATGCGTGCTAGCCCAACATGTATGACATCCAATCATACACATACAAACACACACACACATACACGAAAAAAAAAAAATTAAATCGTAATTAAATCGTATCATAAAGCTATATAAATAATATTACTGTATCGTATAATGACGATGTTATTTAATCCGTCATCATTAAAGTCAACTAAGCGGCCTATCAGCCAGGAAAGCAAGATACTGAGGATATGTATTGCGCTAAGATTTCAGAAAGACACACGTCTAACTAACTTATTGTAGATTCGGGATAGATATTGATAGATTTATTGTAGATTAGGGATCTTGGAAAATTTACATAATCGATCGAAGCGTCGTATTATGCAAAATATATATATATATATATATA